ATGATATTTGACCTATATCTATCAACAAGAACTGAACGAAATCCGCAAGTAACTAAACACGCAAAGGTTCACAATTGCCGAAAACAACACAGTTTCCAAGATCTTTTCGTAATTATAAACCTTTGGCGTGAACGCCAACGGCAGCCCGATGGCCTCGACCCAGTACTTTTACGTCGTTATTGCCGTCGCTGTTGTCATGCCGTAAGGTCTCTAATATCACGTTACACATAAAACTTAAGGAAGTTATACTGGTGTAAGTAACGAAAGCCTGTGCCTAACTTGCAGTCAACAGAAACGAGCGAGCGATGAAAGGAATGAGTGGAAATGTCAGGGTCATTTATTTCCATGGCAACCATTACCGCTAATTGTCGTTCGCCCGCTACTTCACACGTCTCAGCAGACTGAGTGCCTAGAACAAACTAGGGGATAACTTTTCCGTAATATTCTTTCATAGATATCGACGAGTGCGAATTTCTACCAGATGCCTGCCACAAGGACGCGTACTGTAAAAACCAGAATGGCTATCACGATTGTGCATGTGTTCCTGGATACTCTGGTAACGGCACCAGCTGCACTGGTAGGTTTTAAAATGAGCCTCATATACAGTTAGCATGTTTGCTTCTTGTTTATTACTGCTTTTTTATAACACTCTGCTCTTATTCCACTCTTATATCCTCTACCTTCCGGTTTTATATCCTTTTTTTTCTAGCCGGAGGCTTAAACCGCAGATGATATTATGACGACATTGTTTTTCTTTTATCACAGCTCCAGAAAAATGCTTAGTTCCAGTGGACATCATCTTTGCAATAGACGCCTCAGGCAGCGTTGGAAGAGATAACTACGAAAAGCAAAAGGACTTCATGAAGATTTTGGCTAGTCGATATGACTTAGAAAATAGTAGTCGAGTTGCAGCAATTGTATTCAGCAATCACGCCTCTAACGAGATCCAGTTAGGAGAGATGAAAACTGCAATGTCCTTTGCCACCGCTGTGGACAAGATACCATATTTTCAGGCATTTACACGTATTGACCTTGCACTCCGTAAAGCCTATGATGAGTATTTCTCGACAAGTTCGAACGAAACACAGAGACTGGTCATTTTGTTAACTGATGGGAAACAAACTAGAAATGACTTTATGACACCGGCATATGTTCCAATTTTGGATACTGTGCAGCTCCTCCGCTCTAAGTCTGCTCGTATTTTTGCCGTTGGAATCGGTCCCTCGGTAGATTTGACGGAAATGAGGATGGTGACTGAACAACAAGACGATATTTTCCTTGCAACTGAATTCAATGATCTGGTTTCGAAGGCGGATACAATAGCAAAGACAACGTGTGCCGTCGTTCGTAAGTTTATTTCGAAGCTTTTCGTGCAAAAGTTTTTGTTTTGCTATGTCTGTCGAGGGTGTTCAATACATTTTATGCGAGCGATACGTAAATACATTGACGTTCAGTAAAAAATAAATATTTAATATCTTTAAATCTTTCGGTCGGTCGGTCGTTCGGTCGTGGAGTCCGTCAGGCACTCAGTGAGTTAGTCAGTGTGTCAGTCACGAAGTCCCTCTGTTCCTAACTTCCTCAGCTGTCTGTCAGTCCGTCGATCATAGTGAGTTGGTCAGATAGGCAATTACACCGGTTGATCGGTACATCTATCAATTAATTTATGGAATATATTTATACAATGGTCTCTTTAACCAGTTTGTGCGTCCGAGCTTCAAAATTTTGTTAAAAACTTTCCTGAGCTGAGTAACTTTTAAAATCCTCGATCATGTAAAAAAAGTTAACCAATATTGACAATGTTGAAGCAGACAAGTCTTCGAGAAGTGCTGGTGTCCATGTACGTGTAAAAATACGGAAAAAGTGAAAGATACAGCAGATGCTCCAAAGTAGACTCATAGAGCTAACAATTTGTCAGAAAGATGAGTCACCACGAAATATCCACTTTCAGGGTCAGTTAATTGATCATAGTTCTTTTTTATCTACCAGTCCAGGAACGAGGGGTAACCGTGTGTAGCGCTGATGTCGACATTACAAGTTGTCATTATGGAGCACACTGCGTCAATACAAGTAATAACTTTACCTGCCTCTGCAAAAATGGTTTTGTTGGGAGAGGTCTTCAATGCGATGGTAAGTCACCAGCAAAAGCACGATTAGATCTCGAGTATATTATAGTAGAAGGCTTCAACATTAGATAAATCACATGGCGATAAGAGTTAGAGCATTGAAGTGGAGGGGACTTAGTCAGCAGGACTGCTGCTTATCTCTCTTAGTCCCCTTCCTATCGGTCATGGCCACAGGCGCGGGGGATCTTTTATAGGCCTGCACGACTTACTGCTATTTTAAAATCCTCAGCAAGACGTCGTTAGCGACATTCAACGAACGCAGCGCAAAGAGAAGAAAAGATAAATTCGTGCGACTCCAAAATACGTTATTTGTTAAATGTAAACAAAGTTATGACTAACTTTTTCTTTTTTCTACAATCATTATCACAATCCAGTACGAGACAACATATATCCTCGTTCCATTCTTAGATATAGATGAATGCGCCGATGGTTCACATGACTGCCCTGGCTCTGCTTCCTGTGTAAACACTGCTGGCTCATATTACTGCTTATGCAAACAAAAAGGATACAGTTATAATGGTAGCATGTGCATTGGTACGTCGTGCATTTCTCGCTATTGATTAGTAAATCTAAAAACACATACTGGCATTCAGTTTCGTTAACCTGATGGTTATTTAGTCCCAGTTCCCTTTACTCATTTTCTATAGATCTAATTTATATATATTGTTGATTAATTTGTTTATGTTAAACCACCTTCAAAGACATTGGAAGCAATTAGCAGCTGCGTCCACCTTCCTGGAACTAGCGCCCTCTTGGACCACAAAATTTAATAGGCGCAGCGCCAATTTTAACATCTTAAGGTCACCCACTATTTATTAATAGTCTCTTTTAGGTAACATGCAAATGAAAATCCCTTCCTTTCTTCTTTTGCCACCCACAGATATTGATGAGTGTGCCAAAGATTGGGATGACTGTAACGATACAATTACGACATGCTTCAACCTTCCCGGATCGTACAATTGCACCTGTCCCGAGAAGAATTTTGCTTGGAATGGACAAATCTGTGTTGGTAATGAATATCTAAAAGACAGGCATTTGATCATAATGACATCAAGAAAGAGGTCGGTGAAAATGAGAGAAATAATCATTGTTCTTAAACTTAAATTTTCACAGATATAGACGAATGCACAGAGGCTTTACATGACTGCATTGCTCCTGCTAAGTGCGTCAACACAGCGGGATCCTATAACTGCTCATGCGACCATCCAGGCTCTGTTCAAAATGGAAGCTCGTGCGTAGGTAAATACAAGATCTTGCAGACAGTATACGCCAAACTCTTTACAAACTACCGAGCACTCATATAAGTTTCGGTTAAGTGTGGAGAACAAAATTTTACCTGGTTTTCCTTCACATATTAAAATCAAACGTCAAGGATTCTAGATCTGGCCGAGAAATTATTTTCTCTTTGCTTCCGAGGAAGGGCCATCTTACAAAAACCTCGTAAACGTCGATGTATTCTGTTCTGGACTGGCGTCTTATCTACTGATGAGTCGAAACAATGGGGACATTTAAGATCTAGCATATTTTGCTGTTAGGGTGGTTATTACTCCCTATAGATTAAACTGAATAGTGGTTAAAGATATGCTAAATAAATCCTTTTAAAAATTTCTAACCACATTACATGGCAAAAACATAATTTATCATTTAGGGGAAGACTCTTATTACCCTACTAAGGAAAATTCGCATCATTTTTTCGTGCAAAAACATTCATTGAAGTTACCATTGATCTGATAAATCAGACGTGATGAGGAAGTTCTGAGGAATAGCTTTCTTTTATGGCCATAGATATTGATGAATGTGCTCAGGAATTGGACGTTTGTGATGACGTGACAACAAAATGTGTGAACACGCCAGGATCCTATAAGTGCCTTTGCCATCAGGAAAACTATGCTTGGGATGGAAAAAGCTGCGTTGGTAATTAATTTCTTTTTAAAATTTGAAGTTATAATTTTAACTCAGTCTGACATTGGAGCATTTCCTCGACAGAGGAAAATTCTCTCCCTGCATGTTCTAATCACATGATCATGTCAATCATAAAAATGGTCGCGTTTCTTTATAAATAAAATGAAATTGCGATGAAAGGAATCTTTATTTTGACACCAATGAATGTAAATAGTGAGATTTTACAATTATTTCGATACCAACGGCCCGGTGACACTTGGAAGTATAAGGGCTAGATTTTTTCAATGAAAGAATTAAACGCCAAAGAAAATTATTACAGTTTCTCGGGTGGACATGCGATTTATGCGCACATTGATTTCTTTTGCATAAAAGCTTAGCTCAACAATCCTGTTTTAATATACACGTGCAAGTGTTGTTCCTTCGCTGGTGCATTAGGTCTTTTCCCGCCACAAGTCTTTTACGTCGTAAAAATTACCCACATACCTCGTCTACGAAAAAGCATTTGGTTAGTTGTTTACTAAATGTCGTGTAACGAATCTCATGTAAAATGTTGATATAACGCTTCTTTTTACGTAAAAGACAAAGACGAGTGCGAGGATCCCACCAGTTGCTCTGCCAATTCCAGTTGTACAAACTTAGATGGGTCTTACGAGTGTACTTGCTCAGCCACAGAGTCTCATCTCTGTTATGGTAGGTGAAAATTTTGTAAGAATGGAAGTAGAGGTCAAACCGGAAGTCACTTTATCGAAGAAATATTTATTTAGACCATAGTTACTCAAGTTCTGTCCCATTCAAATGTTAAAATAAGGAAAGGTTTCTTTTTCTTTTTAAGGGACTTTATTGTGTGGTACTCCGCATGTAAGAATTTTTAATGTGGGCCGCACTGCTGACCAACCTACAGAATTTCAGCTCAGCTCGTACTACACGTTTAAAGCAAATGTTGAAATACGATGTGCTAAGATATGGACACAAAACATGTCTTGGATAATAGCAAATACGTCAATGAACGATTTCGAAGCCCTTGCCACTGGGACTATAGCGTCATCAGGATTCAACGACTGGACCCCTTCCAAGCAACATGAAGGATTCGCAAATGTGGTTCATACTTTGATCTTCTATTTCACGGTGGTCCAACAAGACGATAATGTGACAAAAACTGCATATGATCGGGGTTTTATTCTCATGCGCCTACCACCGCTGGTAGCAATAATCTCAGGTGAAACTGAAATAACAAAAGGAGATACGCAGACGATCGTTCTTAATGGAAGCGAATCCTTTGATCCCCATGTTGGGCCAGGGCATCAGGAATTGCTTATGTTTCATTGGCTATGTAGAAGAGCGGGTGAAGAATTCCCATCTGAGCACCCGCTTGAGATTAAAGTCGTCTCCAGACCTTTGAACCCCCCTAAGCCATCACGTGGAGGCTGTTTTGGAACAGGTGTCGGTAGATTGGACTCCAACGAACCATTGTTTGTGCTGAACGCCTCAGTATTAGAAAGTTCAAATGCAACCTACGTCTTCAAACTTATCGTTACAAAAGACGTGAGATCCGCAAGTGATGAGAAGCTAGTTGAAGTCGTCAAGGGAAACCCTCCTGAAGTTTCATTAAAGTCAGTATGTTATCATTGTATCAATAATCATTTAGTTGGTTGAATTTAGAAGCGAATTTTAGCGTTCACGTTTCTAGAGCACGAAACATCGACCTTCATTTTAAACGGTAAGTTCAATTTTAAGCACACAAGTTTGGCAAAGGCTCTTAACTTGATCGTCAAAGGTAGAAATTTACAACGTTTTTATTTTAGCTCCTTTGCTTTCACTGTCAATGAGAATATGGAGTTTCTGACGCACCACCAGGGCCTTGAGTGCTTGCGAAAAAAGATTGACTGCAGAATTTTTTAAACAAGGAGTGTAAGAATAGAGTGTATACCTGTAGCTATGTTAAAGCTTACAATCATTCCGTCTACAGTTTTGTTTTAAATGACCGTTTAAATGTCATCTCAACTGCTCCGCTCACCATATCAGCCGATTACATGGGTTATCAATGCAACGATGATGTAGAGTATCAATGGATTCTTTACCAGGAGGACAAAAACGCGGGATGGTTGGAGGTCTTTAATCAACCAGAGAGAACAAAAGTATTTACAATCGATCCAAAGATTCTTGAAGACAATACAAAATATCGACTCGAACTGACTGTGATACTTAGGAACGACACTCCTTCCAAAAGCGTACAGGTTTTCAAGACTGCGCTCCTTCCAAAAGAAGGATCTTGCGTTGTAACACCCGACACTGGTGAAGCAGTGTATACCCTATTTGAACTGCTATGCTTCGGATGGTTTGCAATTAACGAAACGTTCACATACGAAATTCAAATCTCCGGGGAAGGCTCCATATACTATAGCTATTATCACGGCCCTTCAGCCAAACAAATGTTAGTTTTACCTCAAGGGAATGCTTCTCATGGATATTGGTCGAACGTCAAAGTCTTCGTATTAAGAAGCAACGGGGCAACCACTGAGTTGGATGTTCCTGTTAGGGTAAGAGAATTGAAGATATTCTGCTGTATTTTGTCACCGTTTAGTTGCAGTTTAAATATCTAAATTTAAATTTATAATGATTCTTTTATGATCTTTAGGTGTGATAAGTATGGGAGAAAAGGGAAGGGTGGAAGGAACTGGGTTGTGAGTGATCGCTAAAGAGATTAGAGGAACCATAACCTTATGACATGTTTATTTGTTTACGTCATTACTTTAACTCCCAGAAGTTAAAACGTGTGACTTCTCATTATAAATATCTATACATTATTCAGCGAACCAGCGATGGGAATACTAAAACGAAATCGAGTCAGAATAGTAATTTTTGTGAACTAAACCTTGAAAGTTAGATGTACATTAAGGAAGAATAACTATATTAAGAACATTTGTATCTTGCAGGTCACTCCGCCCAAATCAAACGCCAGTATGGATCTCTTTGAGCTTCTGGTTAAAAACACAAGTGCCTTCGAGGATTATCTCCTCTCAATGGAGTCACATAAGGCCTGGCAGCTAATGACGGCTATGTTGTTGACAACGGAGGCACAGGAGTTGGTCGATGGTAGTAATTCAGAAAAATCGCTTCAACAAAGAATTGCTGTAAGTGTTTAAATCCTGAATGAAGTATGTATGTCTTTAGATAGTAAAGGATAAGAACTTAAGGTTTCAAAAGAACGAGCCAAAGACGACCAGGGTAGTAATTTGGATATTTGTCCTCTATGGCGGATAAGAGACCCAGTGTAGTTCACATACTGTAGGAAGACATAATGGCCAGATTGAAACCATTGTGGAGTACGGTCAGATGTCTGATAGGGTTAAATTCTTCTGTTACGGAAAGGAAATTTCTTTCTTTTCTTTTTATTATGCTAAATAGTGCTTAATTGTACTTGTTCTTAAGCAAAGAGACGTCGCCCTTAGAAGACTTCAGATAAACGAATTTAAAGATCTACCTGGTTTGGTGTTCATCTCGGCTTTCTTGGCTTCAGCGGGGAGGAATTTGCCAGAGTTGTCCTATCTCAGTAAGGTAATATCATGCTGAGTAAAGACACTTTAATGAATGTCCGTTTCAAAGTCTTATCATTTTCCTTACTGTCCCCAGAGAGTTCCTATTAATCATCTTTCCCTGGTTAACAAAGACTAACACGGCTTGGCTTTGAGCCTTATTGTGGTAATTTTCTGTAGGACAATATGTACAGACCCTGATAGGTTTCTGTACGCAGAACAAAATGTACATATTACATAAAATGCTTTATATTAAAAATTATTCATTCGCATACGCTGTTTTAGAGTTATCAATTTATTTTGAAAAAATTTTCATCGTTGATGGGTAGTAAAAACCGCCTTGATTGAAAGCTCTTAGTTAGGAAATGATGAACGGGACTTTCCACCAATCAAAAGACACTATCGCATTTTCGGACTCGAGACTGACTCAGTGGGCCGGTAATTTAAACGAAGACCAGCCCAAACCACGGTGTTATGCAAGCAGTGGGCCTCAGGTATTCTCTCTAGAATGTTGGTTTGATTAAGCAAACCTCCATTGCTAGGTTTCGCCTCCTCGAAATTGTTCACAAATATAAATGGTTAGGAAAAGATTCAGTCTAGAACGCAGTTTTTACAATCAACGGCTAACCTTTGTTTAGATAACTGGCCAAAATTGTCCGAAATATCTAGGTACTTATTCGCCTATTCATTCTCTTACACTCTCTGTGGTGTATAGTACCACAAAATGTGTTCCTCATCTCACCTTAATTTTCTTTGTTATCTTCTTTAGCTGTCTCCAGCTATATTTCCCAACCCGTCATCCACCTATTTTTCTTTCATTGTTCTTATGACGAGCGCTACATCTTAGAGCCACATATCGTTATTTTCCTTGAAACGTCCAACTTCCCATGAAGCTGGCTAGGGGCTGAAACTTTTAAGTGATCAGCGGGTGCTGCCAGGAATTTTATAAACAAAACAAAATTAATGTGCATAATATATCACGTTGATTTGCAGAGGTATCTGCCACAGATTTTTGGAAATATGAGTGATACTATACTCTACGAAGCTAATAATTTGAAAGCAAAGGATGAGCGATATATTTCTCAAGGAGTATATAACATGTTGTTTGGAACAGTGGAACTACTTATGATTTCCGCAGAGGAAGCTAAAATAACTGAGGACAGTGGCCTCTCGGCAGCTAACCGATC